AATAGATTACGCTTATTATTTTTTAGTGATTTCAAATCAGCAGATGTCCGGTCAGGCTTAAAAGTAAAGGGTTTTTCACTTTCACTTCAGAAATGCCTGGAACGATTTACATCCGTCTTTTGCAACTGACGATTTTGCCGCTGATTGTTTCAAATCTTATCGTCGGTAGGTCCAACTTTGCCTCTGCCTTGTGTTTCGATTTTCACAAACAGCTTGTTCTAGGTAAATACTTGTAACAAGCGCCTTACAATTGTGACATTTCTCTTCCCGCAGAAAGGTTACCTAAGTGACATTCATTAGGCAGTCTTTTTTCTACGCAAATCTCCCAGGAGAATGATCCCCGTGTACTATTTTTGGATGCGGCAAAACCTAGTTAAATGTTTACATTTTTCGTGCTCAGGACACGATCTTGTCTATTTCGCGTCCAATGCCCGCGCATTTCTTGAGCACCGATCACTAAATGGAGGTTCTAGACTGTTTTTCCATTTTTGCTTGAGGAACATATAACGGAAAAATTTGCTTGTGTTACACGATACCCCTACCAGCAAAAGAGGACATTGCACTGTTAAAAACATTTTTAACTCAAAAAATGCTTTAAAGTGACGACGAACACGTGATACTTGTTCGAAAATTCACGAGTACAACTCGATTTTCCGAAGATCTTCTTTTTTTTCATCATATCATCTCGGAATGCAACTTACTTCACTTATCCGACGAAAGGAATTTTGCCGAAAGGCAAAGAGCCTGGTAAACCAAGCAACTCGACAGGCAGTGCAGGATGGCAACTCCGCGTATCACATATGGCCTTATGTCCCTTAGTCTCAAATTCACTACTTCTCCTTTCCCCCCTAAAATGACATCCTCCATGTTTCCTCTTTGGCTTCCATTGCTTACACTTTCCCTTTAATCAATGCGTTACCAGGTCCTTTATATTTGTGATTGCCATCCCAATTCTTACGCACATTTTCAAGATATGTACTACGTTCATTCAAAATGCTCAACTGAAAATCAAATCGAAATAATTGGATTGGAAGATCTGCAATATGGTCTGTTTGGTTAGTTCTCATTAGATTAAGAACACAGGATCGCTTAGGCAAGTGGTTCAATGATCAAAGGTTACACTTAAGGTTCTACCAAAACCTGCGTCCTCATTCTCGTTCCCGGCTTTCAGGTGCTACTTGATATGCTTCGAGCAGTAGCCACCCACTTATCAGTTTTTAGTGGTGTCGTTCTGCATGTGTGTGCATCTGACCCCTTTTTTGCTGCCATCTAGGGATATATTGTGGTAGAAAATAGAATCATTTTTAATTCAGCTTGACAATTTGGCATCTAGTGCTGAATATTCCTTTCATATTGGACCATGGTTCCTTTTCCTGGGCGGTTAGGATGTAAAATGCTCCGAAAAACATTACCAACAAGGACTAGAGAGACTGGACTGATAATTTCTGGTTCAGTAGTAGTCATTGGCTAGTCATATCCAACTCAGGTCGTGTACCAGCCGAAGCTTCAACTCACGGCCAATTATTCAGGGATCTAACGCTATGACC